CCCAACCCCAACGCCACGCCAATCCCCAACCCCAGTGCTCAAAAGTCAGTTTTTTCTAACGGCCCCGACCATATTACTACAGTAAGTAGTGGTAGTAAATCAGTAAAAACTTACTACAGTAAGTAGTGGTAGTAAATCAGTAAAAACCAACCCAAACCCATTTTATAATAACAAAATGAATAGAATTCCTTTATAATCTACAGAAATAGTGAATTTTTTATAATGTAAATAATATATTGTGGATATATGTGTAAAAGATACAAAATCTCTCATAATCAACTCTTTTTCTGATCCATATAATTTAAATATTGAAAATTTGACAATTTTTAATTTAATTAAATATGAAAAATTTATTAATGGATCATATTTATACTATTTAGACAATAATTATTTTTTATAAAACTAATACTAAATGAGCAAATGGTAATTATCTCCAAATAACTTTTGCATTACAAGTAATTATAAGGATTTATTATTTTTTAGAATATCTTAAGTATTTAATGATGTCTAAATAATTGGTTTGTTATGATAGTAGTTAATACGAATTTGAAAGAGCCATTCTCGGTTTTTTAAATTAAAAATGAAAAAATAGAGATATTATCCATAAACAATTAGAATTCATTTAATCATTTAAAAATATTCTTTAAGAATAAAAAATATTATATGATGTCTTTTCAGTATTATTTGATTTAGTCCACTATTATTTTTACAGTAGCTGATGAAAATGTAATTACAACTTTTCAACACATCTTTTCTTTCCAAGAAATTTTAGATCAAGAATGGATGCTATTAGACTAAAAAGAAATTAAAGATATGTAATTAATAGATTTCATAGATGAAGATACTGAAATGAAAACTGATTTTATCCTTTGTTTTTAGATGTTATAATGTTATAGAATTTTACTTATTTTAAATAAAGTAGATCAATCATTTTTTTCAAAAATTTAAAATGTCATTAGATATGGAAATAAAAAGGAATTATCAAAGTTAGAATTGTTAAACAATTAATATTTAATTCTAAGGCTAACAAATCTGCAACAATAGCTTTATTTGGAGATTTATAATTTAAACTAGGATACCTTTATAATTGATAGTTATTCAACAAATGAATTTTTATAACTTGATCTTAAATTTTATCCATACAACTAAACACATTTTATAGAGAACTCAAATAATTTGTAAGAACATTATCTACGAAAATTTGTTGATTATTAAGTATAATGCAATGATATATGCGATAATGATGAAGTAAGTATAACTCTTCAAAATGATGTATTAATAATAATAAAATTCCAATCCATATCATCTATAAATTTGACTTTTGTACAATCAGAATCAAAAACTAAATCCCAAACAAATTTATAAATCATCCTAATATTAATAAATGCCATATTAATTATACTGTTCAACACACAAAAATGGCACAGTAAAAAATAGAAAAACAATAAAAATACAATTATAATTGAAAATAATTGATCTATTTTTAAATAACATTTATTATTTTTTTATGTTTAATAATAATTTATATGTAAACAAGGAAAATAATCATGATTGTTTACTACATGTCCTCTTAGGGACATTATTAAAAAATTGTTTATGAATATCATATATTTATAATTTTAATTAATCGAGAGAAACATTTAATAAAAACTGGTGCACCTAAGATGGAAATGTTATTTAAGATATCTTTAGAGTTTTTTTGAGTTCCTAAAAATTAATGTCCTTATGTTATTTGTTATTATCGAATTTCATATCAAACACTCTTTTTATGGTCATATATATATTAAGTTACAACCTTAATTCTGGCATAAAGTTTTTGATCATCTAATTCTTATTAATCTTCAACAAAATTTTCTAATTCATATTAACAATGTTATAAACATCTTCGATATGGAACTTTCATTATTCGAATCTATTAATTAGGAAGATTTAATAATAATAGTGAAAAATTACATTTTTAAATCCACTTTTAATTTTTAATTACAATAATTATTACTTTTCTTCTCGAATCATATCAAAATTTTGACAATCAATTTCTAATTTTTAAATTTCAAATTTTATAATTTATGAAGAAATTTAGGCTTGCAATCTTGTTTTTTTTCCATTTTATTATATACATTTAATGAAAATCTATAGATTTGTTATTCAATTTTGAATTTGAATTAAATATTTCAAAATTAAGTTTTCCTATAATAGATTGTGCGGAAAGGAAGAAAATTAGTTTATCAATATTTAATAAAAGAGGCAGATATATAAAAGAATTATTTTTTGTAACTCCAATCATACTAAATTGCGAACACAAATTGGTTTTAATAAAGCAGTTTTGAAGTTTCTATACTATATTATGTTCACCAACGAAATTGTTCTTACTATAGATTTACATACCATTTTTGTTGAAAAATGCAGCTTCTCATCTACCTGTTATTTTTCGAGCTATGATAAAGACTAATAAGTTTTACGCGGTAATTTTAAGTCGATGAAACTTATTCTTTTAGTTATTGAACCTACAACAAATCTCATTAACTTATTCATAGAAAACAAATCTTCTCCTATTGACCAAAAATTAAATGATAATTGAATTCTTTAATTGACTTTTTCACCAATTTTTAATATTGGAAGCCCTCCTCAATTCTATATTTTATAGAAAAGATCGCTTTTACATCACAATAGTTTCAAATTCACAAATCAAATAAATCGATTTGAAGTTTTTATTAATAAGTAAATATTGCAGACTCAATTTTAATTTAATGTTAGTTTTGAGACATGGGATTTTTTTGAATATTAGTTTTTTTAAAAAAAACAATGTTGTTAATTGGATTAGTTTTTATTGTATGGTATTTGTTAGCATCATTGTTAAGAATAACCTCATATTTTAATGTATAATAGGGCATCGATAAATAGGTAACATTTTTTTTGTTTATTTTATAAGATAGGATTTGTTAAAAAGTCTTTTGTTTCAGAATTATCAAAATTAAATGAACTTGAAACTTGCACAATTTTGATTTCTTTGATATTATTTTGTTTTAAATTAATAAAGGGATTTCCTAATATTAAATATCTCTTTAAATAGTACTACACTATAGTTTAGATATAGGGGAATTATCCATTTAAGTTAAATAACTTTTCTCTATACTCTATTATCTCAAGCACAAGTTTTTTCTCTTACCATATTCAATATATCCTGGCTTAAGGCTTATTTCATGATAGAATTCAAAAAATATTCATTCTTTAGTTCTATTAAATATAATTTGAGCTGCTGAGCAAATAATTGAGACCAGCATTAGTATATATTAATAAATTGTGAATGGATTTAGTAGTAAGTGATGAATAGAAAATATGGTATAACTTTGAAAAGAACCAACTGTTGTAAATCTATAATGCAATTAATGGATAATATAATAGAATTGAATTTTAAATTGAATCTGTTCCAAGAGTGAAATACTACATTAAATTGAGATACCAAAAATTGAGATAATTCATCTTAGTAATAGGTTTGAGTAGAATGCCAAATTAGAAAATTGGCCGAATATTGCACAATAATTTCAGTTCAATTGTACTCTTCTTTTTAAAATTATTTAAAATTATATAAACTACATATGTTAATCCTACATAGATATATATTATAAATTATTAAAAATAAAAAGTTTAGTAATAATATTTCCATTAGCTATTATGCGTATTTTTATAACACCTAAGTAAATATTTTTCATTTCTAATTCTACATTTTATAAATATTTATGTATAAGGCTATATGTATTATCCATTCCACATATCCTATTCAGGGTATCGTGGAAACTTAGAATAGTTCGAAATTTTTACCGATTTTTGTTCATGTTTTTTCTTCCATGGCCTTAGAGTCTAGTCCAGTTCATAATCCAGAGTCTCTCAGTAACTCTTTTTTTGTGTCCTTTTAAAAAAGTTTCTTCATTAAAAATAACATTTAACCATTCTACAGATTATAAATTAGCAAAATTGAGATTACATGAATTAATTTCCACATTTTAAAATTTTGAATGACTTAAATTACAATTAAAAAAACTTAAACCTGAAACATTTGTATTGGCCAATTTAATTTATTAAAATCTTGAGATCCCAAATATACATTCATCTATTTCAATAAATATATACTATTTGATGCTGATCTGCAATAAATTTAAGTTCTTGAAAGCTTAATTATTTCTATTAACTTTAAAATAATATTATCATCATTAATTAACATTTCTTTTATAAATTTAATTACATTCTTGAAGTTTTCTGTAGAAATATTAAATTTTTGATCGTTAAATACTGATTTTAACAATATTTGCTTACTTTTCTAAAGATTTTCATTGCCTTCTTCTTTATCATCAGTATTAAAATTATTCAAAGCTACTAAAAGATCAAAAACATATTTAGCTACATAAAATTCTTAAATTGATTTATGTGTAAATGAATATGAACTTTCTTTAGCACTTAATAAGATACAACTTCTTATTAACTTTTTGTATTCATCTTCTCCATCAAAGTATTATTTCAACCAATCATCACTTACTTATTCAATTTTATAATTACTTTTTAACTAAAGTTTTCCCTATGGTTTATAGATCAATTGTGATAATTCTCTTATTGTCATATCTATGGCTAAAGAATAAGAGAATTAAAAAATATCGTATTTTAAATTTTAATAATCCTATATTTTACCAAAATTTCTTAATTTCTGAATTTATTATTCATGATAAAAGTTAATAAAGCTGTCATAGAACTCAAAAACTGTAAACTTTTTCATTTTCAAAGACATTATTACTAAATTGATATCATCATGATTTAATTATACTTTATGACCATCAAAAGAAATATAATCATCACTGTAATTTAATATGCTAACAATTGAATAATTTTAGAAAAAGTTCTAACTTTCTAATTTATCAATTATTTCATTTATTTTTAATTTTTGATTGTTACTAAATTCTTTATCATTTTCTTCCTTTAGCATTTTTTCATCTTAAAATGTTTATATGTTTTAGGTATTATTTTGAGTCAATGATTTATATTTTTTTCTATAAAGTTCTTTAGTACCTTGAGATAAATGAGATTATTTTTATAATTTCATATAATTCATTATCAAATTATCTTTTATTATTGAAGACCCTTTGTACATTTTAGCCATGTTTGGTAATACCTATAAAATAATCTCTAACATAAATGGAGTAGTTAATAATTATTAAATCTTAATGCTTTGGATTGATTTTTTAAATTTATTTGCATTCCATAAAGCTAACAAATCTTTTTGTAATGTAGTACTTTATTCTTCTTTTACTATTTCTAAAGATTTATGTGTTTTTATTTTTTTAATAATGGCTTCTACTTCTTTAGAATGAAAAATACTATCCTATAAGCTCATCTCAGATTTCTTCCTGCAATCTGTAATTTATTAAGAAATCAAACTCCATAAATTTTAAAATTCTTCCAAATCAAAATTTTATCCAGAAATAGATTTTTCAATCTCGTAAATTTCTTTTATTTTCCTTTTAATGCTTAGTATAACATATTAGTTTAAATATTCATTTTATTATTCCTCATTAAAATTTTATATCTAAACTTCTTTCAAAGTTGAAATGCTCTCTCCATAAAACCAAGTTTAGTATCCTGTTGTATTCAATATTTCTTTTCTTGTTGTAATTATTACTTTCATTTAACTATTTACTTTATTGATATTCAAATCTTAGAATAATTTATTTGTCATTAATAAATTTTATTAGATACAATCCTATTTCATCTCATCATAACTATCTAGTATGAGTATTATACTCTCTTTTCCCATTTATATATCGTAAAGTCAATATTGTAATCTAATTTCTAAAATTGTAAGATAAGATTTATTTTAATAAAAATTAACAGAACTAACTTAATATTATGATTTAATAACAATCAATTAAAAAATAGTAATATTAATTAAATTTAATATATATTAGATGTCTTAAACTATATATGATTATCATTCTCATCATTGATTTTAGACTAAGATAGAGAGTTATGATTCTTGTTCCTTTTTTATATTAAAAAATTTATATAAAATACATAAAAAAATTCAAAATTTTTTTAATTATTTATGCCTTCATGAAATTGAAATTACCCTTATTTTTCAATATAAATCTTCAATTCTGAAAATAAGTTAAAGCTTCAAATTAATATTATTTTCTCTATTTTAATTTATTAAAATTTAAGTGATTTTTTTTTTTTTTATCTGCAATAGCTTCTTTCAACGCTCTAATTTAATAATTATCAAATTAATAATTTTCAGATTCTAATGCCTATTCAAATAAATTATACTTAGGATTCTTTAAAGTAGGTAGTGATACAAAGATAGGAATCCATTTTGAGTGAGTTCCTTATTATTACCAAAGAAATTCTTCAATTCTTCTAGCTGCTTTACTTTTGCCAGATCCAGCATTTCCTGAAATGAGCATTACATCTTTTTTCTCTTTTTATTTCGTCTCAATTTATCTATTGTCTTCTTACTAATCTTATATTAATTATTTAATTATTTTGCTAGAATATTTTTTTCTTTTTTTTTTTAAATTTCATCTTCCCAAATAAATTCATTAACCTCTCCTTTTGGATCATCCCTTTAATCCACCAATAACTAAGTTGTCTCTTTGTCTTCATAGAGAATTTTCTCACCAGTTGCAGGATCATATTCAATTGTATTCAATTAAACATAAACTGAGTCTATATCTGATAATTTTGATTATTCTAATATTTTTTATTTTCTTATTGTTAATAATTCTTAATAATTTTTTCCTCTTAATTTACGAACATCCTCACCAATTTAATCTATACAATCTTATAATTGATCAATTTAAACCTTTATTTACTTTATATCTCTAGAGATATCTTTAAGCAGTATTAAACTAATATTCATAGCTTCTGACATTTCTGAAATATTGTCCAAAGATTCATCTAATTCATTATAATTTTTCTTTAACAATATTTAGTATTGCTCTCTTTTTTATTGATTTCTATCTAGCATCATTTATTATTATAAATTTTCTAATTTTTGCATTCTATCTTTAAGTTCATCTTTTATTGAACCTGATAAAATATCCATAGTTTAAGAAAAAAGGTGTTTTTAAAATTCAATCAATTCCTTATTTTTTAATAAATTTCTCACTCTTTAATCTTTTTCAAACACCCATATATAAGATAAAATTTACAACAAAAAGAAATTATCTATTATTCTTATACACCATGTTATAGCCTTATTAAATTATAGACTAACCCTTCCCTTACTTTATGGTCAGGTTTCAGATTAATCAATTCAAAAATGTTTTCTTTAATGTCGGTATAAGCTTTTTTAATATCCTACCATATTGAATCATTTACATTATCTCCTTTAATGCCTTATTCAAATTAACTACTAAAAAACAATGAGTAAAAAAACTGTAAAAAGTTAGTTAATTTCAGATTGATAACAATCTATTCTTTCTTTTAATAAGCTGGGTTAAATAAACTATTATCTATTTAAGATTTTAGCTTTTCACTAAAATAATTATCTCTTCGTTCCTTTAATTCTTAAATAAAAATATTAATATTTTCCTGTTCTTATTACTACAACTAATTTTATTATGCTGACAAATTATCAACTTCTGATTTTTTTAATAATAAACTTTACTTTGCTATTATTTCGGTTTCTCTAAAAATTGGATATTATTAATATATCAAATCTAACTAAATATTTAACATCTATTTATATTATTTATAATATTTTTTAGTTATTTTAGTTTATGTAATGAATTTATCATTGCATTCTTAAAACAAAGAATAGAAATCAAAGATTTTATCATCGAAATCTTAAGTTATAGATTTTGTGAAAGTTTCCGTATATTAATTAATTTATTCTAATTTTTCATCATAATTGTTAAGTAGATTTTAAATATCTGATAGATTTTCCGTTTAATTAATAACTTAATATATTCTAAATTAAGCATCTGGCAACAGTTTTAACAACTATTGATTGATGTTTTTATTTTACAATTAGTCGCTCTCATTTTTTATTAAAATAAAATCAGTTTTTATTTGAGCTAATAGGCTTTTGCAATTGACTTAAAAACTCTAAGCATCTTTCAGACATAACAAGGAAGAAATTTTCTATTTTTAGAGAGTTAAGATTTATTCAACTCTCTCTTTATAGCCTTATTCTAATTTTTACTCAGTTTTTATCATATAATTTTAAAATTACTGATTCATTATCAAAAGATATTAACATTGTATTTTGTAGAATAGATTTAGGTATTATAAAATTATTATGCAAAACTAGCAATCAGTGAAGTTTTATTGTAAATCTTCTAAAGTTTCTAATTTAGAATTACACAATTTAAATCTGTTTTAAATTTTTCATTCTACAGTCTTTTGTGTATTTTCTTGATATATTCGCCATAACAATTATATTCAATAATATTTATGATATTTTCTTATTGTATTATTTTTATTTATTAAACCTATTTTTCATTATAAATTGATTTCATAAAATTTTCCTTAAAGTTACTTAAATTTGAATTAAATTAGTCAAACTAAACTTAAAAATTTAGGAAAAAGTTCTAAAAATTATCAAATTAAAAAATTTATTTTAGTTTATCTAAATTTTTCAAATATTTTGTCTCTAAAAATATGCTCGCTTCGTAAACTGAACTAGCAAATTCTATGGCATTTAAAAAATAATCCAATTGTGCGCCTAAAAATTCTTTTAATTAGACCTTAACAAAATTATCAATCTTAGTGTAAAGTTCTTATAAGTTAATTTAATAAACTTTGTTATTAAACTCTTGAATGTAAGGTTTAAGCAAAAACAATTTAGCAGCTTCAAACTTAGCCATTTCTTATGTGTGATTTATTATTATGATCATTTTTTTAAAGATATCTAAGAATTACTTTATTAATGCTTATTAATCATCTTAAAATATTTATTGTAATGATGAATCATTAAAATAATTTTCAAATGATTATAAAATTCCAGAATAAATTGAAATTATTTCATCTTTCTCAGATTTCAGATTGTTAAATAATTTTTTTAATATTTCTTATTCGTAGCTTGCTAGTATTATTTCATAATCCTTTTATTTCTTTTCTTTTTAATTTTTAAATGCAAATTCTTTATAATAATCCCAATGGTTGATATTTTATACAAGATCACCTTTCAAAAGAAATTGAGAAAATAGGATAAATTTTTATTTATTTTATTCTTGCAAGAAATTGGACAATTCAATATAATGAATATTTTTTTACTCGTCTTGAAATAAGTTCATGATTGCCTCGTTCTTATTATATGAAACACATTTAATTAAATTGTTTTCGATTAATAGATTCCATTAAATTAAAGAT